CCTTCCTTCCACTCTTTCTTCTCCCTCCCTCATTCTTCCTTCCTTCCCTTCTCCTTTCTTTCACTTCTCTTCCTCCCACTCTTTCTTCTCCCTCCCTCACGTTCTTCCTTCCTTCCTTCCTTCCTTCCTTCCTTCCTTCCTTCCTTCCTTCCTCCCTCCCTCCCTCCCTCCCCTTCCCTCCTTCCCCATAGCCACCCATCTCAATCAATAACTGAGTGACTTACAATTCCCAAAGTATAAAAAACAATTAAAGGGATTTAAAAGCATTCTAAAAACCATTTTTAAAAAATCCAAGTTAAAATACACAGGGCAGCCGAAATACTTGACCAGTTAACAGTGTAGGAAGTCCTTGACTAATGATCATTCGTTTAATGACTCTAAAGTTACAACGGCATGGAAAAAAAGTCACTTAGGACCAGTTTTTCACACTTATTATGATTGTTGCGGCATCCCCAGAGGAGTCATGTGAACATACTTTTGGGTGCTTAGCAACTGGCATATATTTATGTTGGATGGTGTAGCATCCCAAGGTGCCAGGACTGTCCTTTGCAACCTTCTTAGGAATTGTCATGCCCCCGTCGGAATCTGATTCGGAGGGGGAGGCCGAGCAGCTGACAGGGAGTGGAAGTGTGGCTCTGTTGGCTGTGGAGGAAACTGGGGAAGGGCAAAGTCCGGCTGGGCAGAGCAGGGGAGAGGTAGAACAAGGGAGAGGGAGTTCAGAGGAAGACCCAGGCCCACCCTCTCTTCATCCTAGGGCACGCAGGGAGGAACGGAGAAGGGAGCAACGTGGGTTGCCTGGCTTATGGGGGAGGAAAGGGCCCTGATTCCCTTCATTAGCTGCAGCTGGGAACACAAGTGTTTAAAAGGGGAAGCTGCGCATAGCAAGTTGTTGGGAGCAAACGTGAATTTATCTGGTATCGTCGTGGCTTATCTGTGTTCCTGGCGTCTTCCCAACTATGTGAGTTTTGCCGTGGTTTCAAGTCTGAAATTCCTTCTCCTGCCCAAGCAAGTTAATTACTTCAGCTTGGAGTTTGGATTTTTAGTTACAGTTTGCGTGTCCCTCGTTTTGGACAGAATTTTCTACAGTTAAAGGCTGTTCCTGGGAGAGTTTTTTTCTCTAGCCAAAGGTAACCTGGACATTGGGGGCAAAATTGGAGATAATAAAGGGACTCTGATTGCTTATCGGACTGTGTTGCCTTTGTGCCACGCCCCGGTCATCCCAGGAATCTTCTGACAAAGTCAAGGTAAAGTCAGTTGTAAGTCAAGGATTACCTGTACCCATTTACAGCTAGACACCGGCAACAATAAACACCAACAAGCAAAGGATGGATAGGTAGATAGCTTTACAGTCAATCAGCTTTTAAGAAAGATTGCTATGTTACGCTGAGACATTGCTTGTTGCCAAGGCGTTCCGATTAGTGACGGGGGTACCTGCTTTATGCCATATTTTGAAGACCAGAGTTTTCTGGGAATCCAGCAGGAGTTCATTGGAGAGTCTGCAAAGAATCACAAAAAAGAAATCAGAAATATATTTCAACGATAGCTGGAGGAAACATCACTTCCAGGCAAGTTTTTGACCACAATCAAGATTTCAGCAAAGGCATTCGACAAAGGAGACCACAACCTACTTCTTAGAAAGCTAGAAAAAAGTGGAATAGATAGCACCACCACCAGATGGACTCGCAACTGGCTGGCAAATCGTACTCAGGGAGTAGTCCTTAACGGGTCTAAGTCTACACGGAGGGAAGTAAGCAGTGGGGTGCCACAAGGTTCCGTCTTAGGCCCAGCCAGGACTCTTCAGTATCTTCATTAACGACTTAGATGAGGAAATAGAAGGGGAACTTATCAAATTTGCAGATGATACTAAGCTGGCAGGAATAGCCAACACCCAAGAAGATAGGCTCAAGATCCCGATGGATCTCGACAGACTAGAACACTGGGCCATATCTAACAAAATGAAATTCAATGCAGAGAAAAGTAAAGTTCTACACTTAGGCAAGAAAAACCCAAAGGACCCATATGGACTGGATGAAAACCAGGCTCAATAGCAGGAACTGGGAGAGGGATCTTGGAGTCTTGGTGGACAAGCAGCTAAATAGGAGCCAGCAGCCAAAAAAGCCAACGCAATCCTAAGTTGCATTAACAGAGGGATACAATCGAGATCAAGGGAGGTACTAATACCACTCTGTAAAGCCTTAGTAAGGCCACACCTAGAGTACTGCATCCAGTTTTGGTCACCACACTATAAAAAAAGAGGTTGTGACTCTGGAAAAAGTGCAGAGAAGAGCAACCAGGATGATTTTAGGGGACTGGAGGCTAAAATATGTGAAGAATGGTTGCAGGAACTGGGCCTGGCTAGTCTAGGGAAGAGAAGGACCAGGGGAGACACGATAGCGGTCTTCCAATATTTGAGGGGCTGCCACAGAGAGGAGGAAGGGGTCAAACTATTCCCCAAAGCCCCCGAAGGCCAGACAAGGAACAATGGATGGAAACTGATCAAGGAGAGATTCAACCTAGAAATAAAGAGAAACTTTCTGACAGGGAGAACAATCAACCCATGGTACAGAAGTTGCCTTCAGAAGTTGTGGAAGCACCATCACTTGAGACTTTCAAGAAGAGCCTGGACTGCCATTTGATAGAAATGGTGTAGGGTCTCCCGCTTGGGTGGGTGGGGGTTGGACTAGATGACCTACAAGGTCCCTTCCAACTCTGATTATCTGTTACCTGTTAGGAGAAGCAAAACATCTTCAAAAGAAAAAGTCCAGCTGCTTCCTGAAAAAGCACCTTTGGGACAGGTCTTTGGCGTATTTGTGACAATACTTCTGATGTCTTACATGCAATCAATCGATCAATCAAACATTTATTGACAATGCACAACATGTGTACAATGAAATTGAAAATTACCTTGTCTGCTGCTGAAAGTCCCAAACAGGGGAATCTGTGTTTTCTACTGTTGAGGTGGTGATGGGGTTATCGACATCAGTGGCCACGAAAGACACGTAGTAGCTACAGGGTGACGTTACTCCCTGCTCTGCAAGACGAGTACTCCCTGAAAGCGAGTGATTTAGAATCAGTTTGCAGCCACTGCTTTGCGTTCTACGACAATTTCGATCACAAAGGAACAAAAGTCAATCAGAAGAGATCTGGAAGGGATCTTTCAGTGCCGCTGCAACTTCAAACAGCCCCTAAATGAGCTGTTGTAAGTTGAGGACTCGCTGTACGGTGTAGTTCTCGACTTACAATCATTTGTTTAGTGACTGTTTGAAGTTAAGAACAGCGCTGAAAAAAAAAAAAGGAACTTATGACATTGTAGTATTTCCCCAAGGTCATGTGATCCAAATTCGAACAGCTGCCAACTGACTTGTACTTATGCCAGTTGCAGTGCCCCAGTGTCATTCTGATCCCCTTTTGCAAATGTCTGACAAGCAGCGTCAATGCCAGGTTCGCTCAATGACCATGGTAGTAATTGCAGTGGTTTACTGAACAAACCTGGTAAGGAAGGACGTAAAACTCACTTAATGACCGTCTTGCTTAGCAGTGGCATTTGGGGCTCAGTTGTGGTCGTAAGTCCAGGATTTACAACCTCTTTGTTTCCTGTAGTTGCATTTCATTGCAGATTCTCCTCTAGTGACCAGAGGAGTTAAAAAAAAAAAAAAACTCCAGATAATAGTATTAATTTTTTTTCCCCGGAGGCTAATTCTGTTTTTCTGCCCTGGGTGGCCTTTTGCACCATCAATGGCTTTTCCCTTGCACCAATGGCTGTCCTTTTCCAGCACCTGCCCACTGTACTTTCAACTAAGGCATGTTCTCATCCTTGTCCAAAGAAAGTTATTATATAAAAATAAGCAAATCTGCCCACTTCTGGTTTATACTGCAAAATCTTGGACTCCCTTCTAATAAAACTCTACAGCTGTGGCTCTGACCAATATGGAGCGGAATAGAATAAGAACAGAATAGAATAAAATAGAATAGAAATATGAAAGAGAATAAAATAGAATAGAAATATGGAATAGAATAGAAATATGGAATTAGAATAGAATAGAAATATGGAATAGAACAGAAATACGGAATGGAATAGAATAGAAATATGGAATAGAACAGGTTTTCCAGCATTTGAGGGGCTGCCCCAAAGAAGAGGGAGGTCAATCTGTTATCCAAAGCCCCCGAAGAGGCAGGACAAGAAGCGACGGATGGAAACTCATCCAGGAGAGAAACCAACCTGGAATTAAGGAGAAACTTACCAACAGTGAGGACAATTAACCAGTGGAACAGCTTCCCTCTACAAATGGTTGGTGGTCCATCACTGGAGGTTTTTAAGAAGAAGCTGGAGTGGACAGCCATTTATCTGAAGGTATAGAGTAGGGGTGTCCAACCGTGGCAACTTTAAGACTTGTGGACTTCAACTCCCAGAATCCCTCAGCCAGCAAAGCAGAGGTCTACAACCTCGGCCATTTTAAGACTTGTGGACTTCAACTCCCAGAATTCCTCAGCCAACTGGCTGAGGAATTCTGGGAGTTGAAGTCCACAAGTCTTAAAGTTGCCAAGGTTGGACACCCCTGGTATAGAGCAAGGCTCTTGGCAAGTTTAAGACTTGTGGACTTCAACTCCCAGAATCCCTCAGCCAGCAAAGCAGAGGTCTCCAACCTCGGCCATTTTAAGATTTGTGGACTTCAACTCCCAGAATTCCTCAGCCAGCAAAGCAGAGCTCTCCAACCTTGGCCATTTTAAGACTTGTGGACTTCAACTCCCAGAATTCCTCAGCCAGCAAAGCAGAGCTCTCCAACCTTGGCCATTTTAAGACTTGTGGACTTCAACTCCCAGAATTCCTCAGCCAGCTGGCTGAGGAATTCTGGGATTTGAAGTCCACAAGTCTTAAAGTTGTCAAGGTTGGACACCCCTGGTATAGAGCAAGGCTCTTGGCAACTTTAAGACTTGTGGACTTCAACTCCCAGAATCCCTCAGCCAGCAAAGCAGAGGTCTCCAACCTCGGCCATTTTAAGACTTGTGGACTTCAACTCCCAGCTGGCTGAGGAATTCTGGGCGTTGAAGTCCACAAGTCTTAAAGTTGCCAAGGTTGGACACCCCTGGTATAGAGCAAGGCTCTTGGCAAGTTTAAGACTTGGGGATTTCAACTCCCAGAATTCCTGAGCTGAAGGAGGAATTCTGGGAGTTGAAGTTCACAAGTCTTAAAGCTGTCAAGTTTGAAGACCCCCACCCCTGGTTTAGGTATTTCAATGTTGGAAGTTTACAATGATTTTTTTTTAATTTGAATTTTATTTGGAATTCTTTATTGGCATTGTACGTATATACACAGTCTGCATACAACGAAATTCACGTAACCCCCAGACCAGACCCAACATGGACACACACACACACGACAATCCCCAAACAATCAAAAAACTTACAGTGAAGTATTGTGGGAGGCCAAGATACCAAATATACGGAGGGAAGCAAATATAACTTGAATACCAAAAAGAAGAATCAGATAGTACACAAATTTAAAAAAAAAACAACCCTAGAGACCAATATTGCTACTAAATGCAGACGGTAAGCTATAGGCTTCAATAATTGCAGAAAGATTAAAATGACTTTATATTCACCAGACCAGAATGGAATTTTTACCCCAAAAGGGCAAATTAAAAATAATATGAGAATTCTCCTGAAGACTTTTGGGAGTATTGTGAAGTACATTCCGATTAATCCAGTTTAATCTAGCTGTGCTGGCATTGGGCACAAATTATCGGAGCGCATCCGGACAGAACAACTGGGAGGGCTTTTTTTTTGAGAAACAGCCTCGGTGTGCGCAGCAGCGCAAGGGCCAAGACAACAACTGGTTGTGGGAGGAAATTCTAGGAATTAAGCTCAGCAGAATCAAAAGCAGAACAAAAGGTTATTTCGTGGATCACCTCCTCCTACTCCCAGCTTGGCTGAATTGCAAACCCTTGCATTTTTAGTCTACAGGTAATCCTCAGTTTATAACAGTTTGCTTAGTGGCCATTTGAAGTTACAGTGGCACTGAAAAATTGATTGAATTGTTAAAACATCGGACACGGCGGGATCGTCCTGACATTCCTTTTTGTCATACACGTTATAATATATAATACATATTTTTTTATACATTTGTACAATTCGTTTCTATCTGTAATTACCCATTCTACAGATCCTGTTTTTTTTTAATTCTGGGCCCTTCCTTTCTTTTCCCACCATGGATAAAAATTTATTCCGTATCTTGTAGTATTCTGCCTCGTCCTTATTTTTTTTTAATTCCAGAGTCAATCTATCTATTTCAGCACATATCAATATCTTCTTTATCACCTCACCTTCATCGGGAATTTCTCTTATCTTTCCATTTTGGGGCAAAAGTCATTCTTGCTGCCGTGATAATGTGTACTATTAGATAAATCTCCTCTTTACTATATCTTTCTGTCATAATTCCAAGTAAAAATAATTCCAGTTAATAATCTGTTTCCTGTCCAGTCATCTCCTCTAACCACATTCGAATCTTATGCCAAAACTCCGGAGTTTTCTTACAAGACCACCATGTATGGTAGTATGTTCCATTTCTTGGGCACATTTCCAACAGTATGGTGACGAGTTTTTATGCATTTTAGCCAATCTTGCTGGGTAGAGTTCCTGACGTGCAGATCCGCAGAGGAGAGGAGAGCAGTGGAAATCTATGGGCCGGTACTTGGGATGGAAGAGCCACCACTGCTAGTGAAGGCCCACCCCAGCTCTGGGGATAAAAGGCAGGGGGTGGAGATGAATAGATGTGGTAGACCACTATGCGCTTCCCTGTCGGACGGACTTGTTAGCCTGAGGTAAAAGAGAAACCTTTTCCTGGGGCTGCTGGGGCTCCTAAAAAAGGAATAATTGCTTCAGCTACAGAGGGTTTGTCATGTTTCAGGATCTTGGTCAGAAAGTGTTTGGGGGAGAAAAATTATACCTAGAGATTTGGCACATGAACCTCCGTTCTGGCTTTGCCTTACTGTAACCCACGTGACCTTTAGTGAATGATACCTTTCTCAACGAAAGGAGTCAAGGGTCATTCTCACTTAAAGGTTCAAGATAATCAACAGGATCAATAGTCGAGGCCTTCAAATGCCTAGGTTCCATCCTATCACAAGACCTAAAATGGACGCCTAACATCCAAAAGGTCATCAAAAAAGCACAACAAAGAATGTTCTTTCTGCGCCAACACAGGAAGCTCAAACTGCCCAAGGAACTGCCAATCCAGTTCTACAGAGGAAGGATGGAGTCTGTCATCTGCACTTCTACAACTGTTTGGTTTGGCTCTGCAACCCAACAGGACGGACACAGACGCCAGAGAGGAAGTAGGACTGCAGAAAAAAACAATGGCTACCCACCTCCCTTCCATGGAGGACCTGTATGTAATGCATGAGTCAAAAAAGAGGGCTGGGAAAATATCTACAGACCCCTCACATCCTGGACATAAACTGTTTCAACTCCTTCCCTCAAAACGACGCTATAGAGCCCTGCACACCAGAACAACTAGACACAAGGAGAGTTTTCTCCCCGAAATGCCATCCCTCTGCTAAACAAACAATTCCCTCAACACTGTCCAACTATTTACAAAGTCTGCCCTACTATTGCTATTAACCTTCTCATCACTCCTTATCACCCATCCCCTCCCACTTATGACTGGATGACTGTAACTCTGTTGCTTGCATCCTAACAATTTATATTGGCTGTTTCCTAGTATGATTTGATTGCTTGTTGTTCTCTAAGACTATTATTAGGTGTTGTACTGATGATTCTTGACTCTTGACAAACGTACCTTTTCTTTTATGGACACTGAGAGCCTTTGCACCAAAGACAAATTCCTTGGGTGTCCAATCACACTTGGCCGATAAAGAATTCAATTCAATTCAATTCAATTCAATTCAATTCAATTCAAGTCAAGTCAAGTCTAGTCTAGTCTAGTCTAGTCTAGTCTAGTCCAGTCCAGTCCAGTCCATTCTTATTCTATTCTTTTCCTAATTCTTATTTCTATTCTATTCTATTACGATTTGATGGCTTATTCTACCCTAT